TAGGCATTCTATGCCCTTCTCTCCATTGATTTTAGTTCACTTGCTGTTCCCTTGTCCCAGGGTTGGTTCCTCACTTCCCCACCCCCTTCCTTTTTCCCACCTCCCTTTCTCCCTTCTTCCTGGAACCATCGGTCCCATTCTTACCGTCCCCAAACTGTTTATCATGCTTATCTTATTTAGACAGACACGCAGAGACATTAATAAGTGCAAAAAACAGACAAAGCCAAACAAAAGTCAAACCAACAAACAATAACAAAAAAAACACCCAAAACAAAATAACAATAAAAAGAAAGCCACTGACAAAAATGGAAAAGATTCAAGGTCTGTTTGTTGGCCTTTACAAGTGTTTTCCAGTCGAGTCTGATGGGGTGCCACACTCTGTCTCCAGTCTATTTTTGGTATTCCCTGGGGATTTCGTCACTTTGCTCACCTTGCTGCTCTGTTGCATGCCCTTAGTGTTTCGTCCCATTGTGATGGGGTCAGATTGGACACAATTTCTGCACTGTCTCGCGGTAGGGCCCTATGGTCCTCTCTGTGCATTGGCTGCTCAGAGCAGGAATATCATCCTCGGGGCTTGGTGGGCCAGGATGTGTTCCCCTCCCTCTCCGTTTCTCCTGTGTGCTCCAATCAAGATGTGCCCCTCTCCCCAAGTTGTAGCTTCAGTGCTGTCCTCTGAAGTGCATTCTTCTGGGGGAAGGGTGTCCACAGAGTTGGGATTGGGGCCGGCCCTCGTGTAAATTTTTACAGTTCATGCCTTAGTCTCTGCACGTTTAGAGACATTTTCTTAAGGAGCCAAACTTTTTCACATAGTGCTTCCTTCCTGTAGGAAAAGCGCCCCAGGCCCTGTGAAAGGGGGCAGCTGTGAGGGCCACTCTCTCTCGCTGGCCCTTTTTAAAGAACTTTCCCTTTGCTCTACCCTAGGGCTCTGGGCGGGACCATGTGCAGGTGTCTGGCTCATTGCGCATCACACACACCGAAGGTGCAGGTGTGAAGTTGCCCTTCCCTCCCAGCCTGACCGCATGCTGTTAGTGCGGTGCCCTCGTTGGAGCCCACGCAGTTTGCACACAAAGGATGGTTTATTATAGTCACTGGCTACAGAGCAAGCAGACAGGCAGAAGTAAAAATACCAGTTAAAAAGTGAGTTTGGAGTGGAGAGGGCTGCAGCTACCACCCTGGCTGAGCTGCCTGTCGGGGAGGAAAGGTAGCACCGGAAGCTGCTGCTCCGAGGCCAGCCCTGCCTCCCACCAGTGCCCGGGACCAGTTCCTGAGGACCCCAGGGGCCTGCCTGCCCAAAGGCTTCCCCCATTTCTGCTTTTGGCAACTAAGACAGGTGTCCTCTTCTTGCCAAGGGTGCACCCAGCACTTCATGCTGCATGAGGCTGACGCCCGCCAAGGGCCCAGGCTCTGAGGGCAGCTGCTACAGGCAGCTCCCTCTCCTCAGCAGAGTGGGAAGGGTTGCAGTGCTCGGTGGGGACGAAGGCAGGGCAGGGTGGAGAGGCTCCAGAGCCACTGGGCAGAAGCAGGGCTGGGTGGGCGCAGGGGTCATCAGCCTTTTGGGCTCCCTCACAGCTGGATGGCCAGGGGCAAGGACAGGAGGGGCCAGTCTCCGTACCCTGAGCAGCTGGGTCACCAACAGACAAGTGGCAGGGCTACACCCAGACACTCCTGCCCAGGCCAGAAGGGGCAGGGCCTGGGGGGGTGGGGGGCCTGCTTAGCTGAGCAGTTCCAAGTAGGTGACGGGAACCTTGCCCTTCTTGTTGCCTCGCTCGCCAATGAGCCAGTCAGGGTCCATGCCAGGCAGGCTGTAGACAGTGATGAGCTGGGGGGTGGGGGTGGGGTGGGGACAGAGAGGGTCAGGGCTCTCTGTCAAGGGCAGAGTTGGGATTCCACATGAGACATGGGCATCTAGACTCCCAATGGCAGGCGGTCACCTCTCCACCGCCCTCCCAAGACCTGGTTGACAGGGTGCTGCCTCCCTCCACCCTCATGCTGGCTCTGCCCTCAGGCCCCCTTCCAGCCACCCGCTAGGGCACCTGGGTCTACCTCATCAGCCAGCAGGGCCAGCTCACTACTGTCAGCCGCCTCATAGTCATAGAGCACTCGGGCCTTCCGGGTTCCGCTGGCGGGTGGGGCCACCTCCTCCAGGCAGAGAGCAGCCTCCCCTGGAGGAGCCAGGCCAGCCACAGAGGGCACCACAGGCATCGTGGCCGCTGTGGTGGTGGGCGAGGTGCTGCTCAGGGGTGGGGAGGCGGGCTCCGTGGTGCCCACAAAGGTGCCTGGAAATCTGGGGAATGTGGAGGGGACAGTTTCAGCAGCTGGAAGCTGTGACTCAGAGCCAGTCTTGGGCGTCCCTCCTGCCCCACAGAATAGCAACTGGGCCTCTTCCACTGACCCAGAGGCACAAGCCCTGCCCCAGCCCAGGAGTCTGTTGTGCTACTTACATGGCTCCCTGAGAGCTGGCAGCATGGAGGGAGAAGCAAGTTGGGAAAGTGAGGTGTCCTGCCTGCTGGTCCCTGTCATCCTTCCCACCCTGCAATCTCCTCAAGAGTCTCCAAGCCCACCTACCCACCCACCTGCCATCATAGGCAGAGAGGGAGAGGGAGAGGCTTCACTGAGAGCTTTCTGAGCCCAGGGAAGAGGTGGTTCTAGGCTAGGAGGACCAGAGACACCGCCCTCCGCCCCCGGCCACAGCACCCACACCTGCCCAGCTGTTTCTGCAAGTCCAGCATGTGGCGGTAGCACTGCGCATAGTAAGTTGTCTGAGACTCGACGAATTCATGGAGGCAGCGAAGGTGGTTCACCTGTGGGGGAGAAGCCAGGCGTGTCTTCCTAACAAAAGCTCTATCTGAGCGCTCAGCAGCCCAGGGCAGCGTGGAATTGTCACGGGCTTCCACGGCCAAGTCTACAGAAGCAGTCTGCCACGCCTTTCCCCCTCGTTGTCTGAACTCGACATCCCTCCTGGGCCCAGCATTCCAGTCTCTTCTCCCCAAGCACCCTGGTCCCTTAGAGACGAGCTGCCCGACTCCCCGAGCCCACGGGCATCTCTGGGTGAGGCTGAGGGCAAGCATGCCTTCCCCTCACCTTCTCAGTCACCACGCTGTGGTGAAGGGGGCCTGAGCTAGAAGCTGCCAAGTTCGTGTGTTCCGTGTTTATTCTCAAAAATAATTTTTTTAAGGTGGGCTCGAGGGCAAGACTTACGTGAGTGCTACTGATTCCCTCCAGCAGGAGACGCGTCACTTCTGCCTGCCGGTCAAACTCCGTCTGGGCCACTCGCAGCTCCTGCTCGGCCTGGGCAGGGAGTGATGAGTGAGACCTGCCTCCCTGCTGCCCTCCCATCCTCCTCCTCAGGGTCCGGTGAGCCCACTTTGCCCTCCAAGGGCAGGAAGCCACGGCCCTGAGGAAGACGACTTTCCTCTGGGGGCCGAGGGCACTTTCCACCCAGCCCCTGAGCGCTGGGTCCTGACACCCCCCTTGGAACTCCAGCTGGCAGGTTCCTGCCAGCAGCAGCTATAGCGCCAGGCCCTCCTGGGCTCTGCTCCGGGCTCCTTCACTGGCCCAGCCCCTGGGACGGGGAAAGCCCAGGTAGCAGAGGCTTCCTGAGGGCCGCTGGGTGCTGTAAAAGTATCCAGAGAGAGAAAAATAGACCCAGAGAGGCTCACAACTAGTAACCAGCCCTAACGCCGACAGCAACAGTGTGCTTGGACCCTGTCTCCACCCTCCCCCCAAGCACCCTGCACCACTCACCTTGTCTACCTCGTCACTCCAGAGCTGCGGAGACCACAACAGGACCAGTCAGCAGGGGAGAGAAGGGTTAGGGTCGCTCAATCCCAGAGCCCCAGTCCTGGCCCAGCTCCCAGAAACCTCACTCGCCCGCCCCACTCCCCGCCCCCATCTATCCACCCCACCCCGATCCGGAGCTGGGGCTGAGGTGAGGCCTAGTGTGAGCAGGGGCTGACCACCACCATCCAGCCGAACATGCCACATGCAGGGATGGGGACGCAGCCAGCTGGGAAGTCCTGCTTGCCTTCTGCCCGCGCCTCACCCACAGTGTCAACCCCCAGCTCCCCGCACCTCACCCTGATGCCCTCACACTTGGCTAAAGCTGGTGGGCTGGGAGGCAGGACCACGTGACCCTGGGCCACTCACTGAGCCTTTCTGTTCTTTGGCAGAGAAAGGCACCCTCGTGTCTGAATCACACTGGGGTTCAGTGACAAAAGAAAACCGGCAGTCTCCACCCTCCTGGGTCTTCCTCCTCCCCCTCAGACCAGGAAAGAGGGCAGGAGGAGGCAACTAACATCTAAAGCTGCGGCAGCCCCGATCCCCGCACTGGGACTCACGAGACCCGATTTTCCTGCCACTTGGGGAAATCTGTCCTGAGGCAATAACCGGAAATACAGTCTCCACGGACAGAAGTCTGTCACCGTGTGGTTTATCCAATCAAAACATGGCTGGGACCTCCATGGTACCCTTGAGGAGTGGGGGACACTGGCAACATGCTCATGACATAAAGACAAGCCAAGAGTCCACTAGAGGACCCATGGGGGGGTGGGTTACCCGGACAAAAACGCAGGAAAGGCACAAGAGTGGTTGCAACCGGCATGGTGGGATAGATGTGATTAAACCATTTCCCAAACTCAAAAGAGTAAAGTACCAACTACCCCGATGCTGTGCAGAATAGCTCCAAGCCGCTCCAAGCCTTCGTGAGCAGCCCCTCCCAGCACTGCCCACTCACTCCGCCCATGCTTTGGGTTTCACTCTTGGGCACACCTTCCACCCCAGCCTCAGTGCCGGAGCACAGGCTGTGTCTGCCCCCTGCAGTTACTTCCTTTGACCTGCTCCTCCCCGGGACTACCACACCCAGCAGCTGGTCAACTGGGGGGCAACCTGGTCAGCTGACTTGAGGGTTCTCGCACTGCTGGAAAGCAGGACCCAGATCTCTTCGGCTCTCTAGCCCCAGTGCCCACCCGAGGCTGGTAAGTGGAGGTGGGTGGAGGGAGTGGAACCCAGTGGGAACTGGCCAGCGTGATAATGCGTGGGGCCCGGCAGACAGACCCCTGGAGATGGGACAAGTCTCAGATTCACACTACTCAGTGCGGCTAGCTGAGCCTCCTCTTCAGCATTTTGCAAGGAGAAACAGATCCGGTGGCAGGGGTCCAGGCACAGAGATGTGGACAGAGGTGGGGTTGGTGATTCCCCTCCAGCCTCAGGCCTTGCCTGTCCAGGTGTGTGGCGCCCCTGTCTTGTCTTCCAGCCCCTGCGTCCTGTGCTGTCAGGCTAGGTGCGCAAGTGGGATGTGGGGGGAGAAGAGGCTGGAGTGGAGCCGATGGGGGGCGCTTACCGCAGAGGCGCTGGCCGAGAGAATGTAATTACGAGGTCTAGTCTCCTGAAAGTCAGGCACCGTCTGGCAGGGAACAGAGTTCATAGGGCTGTCACACGGGGCTGGGGCCAGGGCTGAGGCCAGGGGCTGCCCCCTGAGGCTCTCATAGGGAGCTGCCAGGAGCCCCCGACCCCAGGGACAGGAGGTTCCAGACACACAACATGAACACCCTTCTCCTAGGGGACATGGCTGGGATGTCCCCAAGAGCAAGCGTGGCGGTGTCAGCTTGCGGCTGCTGTCAGCACCTTTGCTCCTGGCTAAGGCCCAGGTTGGGTCTGGCCCCTGGCCCAGGTCATGCTCCCCTCCTCCCCTGACCAGGCTCATTCAGACATCCCAGTTAGAGCCAGAGCCCCCCCAAACGAAACCTGCCCCCCACCAGTTTCTCCACTCCAGATGCCCCACACCACACACCACAACTCTTACTCCTCTATCAGGGACCAGCCCCGCCCCCCACCCCACCCCCCGGTCAACAGATGAGTGATGGATGGATGGACAAGCTTTGAACATTTGCAAAAAGCTGACCCACAGGCTCCAATGCCTAGCACTCCTTCCAGACCTGAGGTTATGCATGGTGGAGGCTCTGGTGGGGTTACCAGCTGCTTGCAAAAGGCCTCAGGATGTGCCCTGGGCCAGCCACCACCCCATGGGCCCAAGGGCAAGGTGGGCAGGTCAAGCAGCAGCAGCACAGCACATGGGACAGGTATACTCACATCTCCCTCACACTGAGCCAAGTTACCCAAAGCAGAACAGAAAAGAACAGAAACAAAGAGTTAGTGAGTCCACAGCGCAGGCAGGAGCAGGCCCCCCACAGGCCCCAGTGGCAAGGGCCACAGGCAGACAGATACACAGGACCCCACTTTCCGGAAAGCGTCCTGCTGTGTGCGCGTGGCATGTGTGTGCAGGGGTGGGTACATGGAACAGAACTGCATGGCGTGAGTCCTCGGGGACACGGGCTGGTGCGGCCTTGCTCCCAGCTCTCTCTGTAGGGCTCCTGACCGGACCAAAAAGGGTGAGACTGCCTGGGCTACCCAACTGGAGAAGAGGGAGGAGTCTGTTTGTGCCAGGTTCCTGGGGGAGAGGAGAGCCAGCCCAAGTGACAGCCTTCGGAGAGAATATCCTGACCCAGTGACTTAGAAGAGGTCACCCCAAAAGCCATCGGCTCACCTACGCAACTCCAGCGAGATTCCTGTGGTTGAGCCCCTGCCTCTGACCTGGTCCCCCACACCTGAATGAGCTGACCCTGCCCATGGCTCTTGCCAGAGGCAGCCCAGGTCCACTATGGTCCTGGGTCCCTCCAGGTTTGGCACGGGGCTCTCTTGGACAGCTCAATCTGAGCGAGACCAGGCCTTCCTCAGCCGAGAGCTTGGGCAGACAGGGCGGTTTTCCCTGGCACACCCCGGACCTGGGAGTCACTTCAGGGTGTGAAGTGGTCATCAATCAGACCAGCACCCCTGAGCAGCCTGGCACCCCAGCACCGCCCCCCTTAGGACCCAGCTTTGTGGTGCTCTCCCTGGTTCAATCATCCCATGTTGTGGGTCCTACGGTCCAGCCAAGGGGAACGGGCCTCAAAGGAGTGAAGGCGGGGGAAATCTCGGGGCTCTTAGACCCTCAGACGTGCCCTGAGCAGGTGGGTGGCCCAGCTCCAAGGTCCTCTCCGGGCCAGAGCAGCAGGTGAGGGGTTAGTAAGGGGGAGCCATGCCCAGGCGGAGCCGGGGACAGAGCGGAGCATCCAGGGAGGGCAGGGAAGAGGCATGCGAGAGACTCCAACTGGCTGTCTGGGAAGGCTTAGGGGGAGCCCTGGGCCCAGGTGGGGGTACCGCTGGTCCACCTACCCCGTCTGCGATTGCCCTGTGACCCAGAGCTCGGGGGCCACCAGGGTTCTCTTGGGGGTGAGAGGGCAGAGAGGCATGACCTAAAGAAGTCAGCCCTAGCCCAGCGCCCCCCAGCCAGGCCACTCAAGGCAGAGAGGGAGAAGAGG